TGGCTTTGTCAAGATCTGAATTATCACAGGCGCTGCTTGGTGATGTAGTGGTTAGCGGTGCCCAATCAACGTTGGGTGGTCAGCAAGGTCTAGTGTGGCATGCTATTGCCGAAGTTTTGGCCTGAGAAACATCCTGTGTATTTCAACCAATCTGACCTCTACATGGCCTGTTTTTGCGCCTTTCCACTGATTCAAGAGGGGATTCGAGTATTATCCGTCGCGTTGGTTTTGAGCGAGTTGTGAGTGGCTCCCCGGCTACATCTCGGCATTTGAGTCACCGCAGTACCACGATAAACTGGATGGAGCTAGAGTTAATGTGGCTTCGCGCGCACAATAATTGTGTGAGCTAGTAGCGAGGAAGTATATATGACGGCTCCTCGTTCTCTCACTTCTGTAGTCCTACATCACAACGTCTTGGTATCACTTCACTTGGTATATTGAGAAACAAGTCGCAAGACTCAACGTGAAGGAAAGACTCAAAGTACTAGGGTCAAGACTCAGGGTATCTACCGCAAGAATTGCTGTGCCGAACACAAGGCTCAAATTACTACGCACAAGACTGGAAGTACTTTACCAACGAGGTCGTGAACATTCGTAATCTCCGCACAAGACTCAAAGTATTGAGTGCTTGGTCAGAAGTGTCAAGCCGAAGACTGAGAGTATCAAACGCGAGGCTAAGAGTTTCGACGCCGCTATACACAACATGGATATGATCTCCTACACCAATGCAAGCTCTGCAGCTACCCTGCAAAGCGGCTTACGGGCCCCCGCAATGAACGCTGAATCCCAGACGCCATCGCACACCTCTTCAAACTCCGGTCCGTTGCCGGGCTATACATGCCTATTCTCGCAACTATCAGGGGAGCTGCGAAACCGCATATACGATTGTATCGTAGAAGATGTTGGTTCGTCTGCCATGCGCGTACACTACAATCCTGATCCAGCAATGCCATTCCAGGAGCGATATCCAAAGCACAAGCACATGGGCCTGACACAAGTTGACCGCAGAACGCGTAAAGAGTTCGCGCCCTTGCATATAAACGGTCATTACTTCCACTTCTCCCAACTAGCTCACTTCTACCGTTCAGGTCTCGCTGGCAAGAACGATGCATATCCCGCCTTAGTCCGCCTCCTATCCATGATCAAAAAAGGACGTCTTAGACGACCAGCGGTGGCAGGGCTTGATTCGCCAAACCCAGGTCTCGACGTAACACTCTTATTCCGACTAGACCCGTATAATTGCGATGTAACAGGCCGCTGGTTCCTCGACACAGAATACAAGGCCCACAGAAATGGCCTTGTGACGGGCGTCTTATGCCGCATGCTTGCGTGTCTACCTTCATGGCACCATCTATTAGAGCCAGGAGCCATCACCAAGATCAGCATCTCGAAGTCCAGCTACCGGACTGGCAAACCGTTTATTCTTGTTACGTTGGAGCTCGACTCTGAAATCGAGATCTCGCGCGCTGCCGTTGTGCATGCGCATGTTGAGCGGGCGCTGGTTGCAGAGATGGATTCCTCGATGCCCGATAGCGGACCGGCGGCGTCGCACAATTTTTTGAGGGTGAAATGTGTTTGGAGAGGCGAGAGGTGTAGGGAAAGACGCCGGATGACGAGTGGCAGGGTGATTCTGGAGACCGTTCCCCGGAATGGATGATTACAGTGAATGTGGATACACGTCATCGGGGAAGAAACGAAGCTTTGAACGCTGCCTAATCAGTCTTCTCAGTTGGTCTGTGTTGCGCCCCAGGTACCTTTTAATCACCCCCTCAGGCCTGTTTTTTCTACATACACTGTTTCTGTCAACCACTTACGACGTGAACTCAACTGGCACAACCCAACATGGATGTCGATACAACGATGACCGATGCCTCTGATGTGGATGTGGTGTCGCGGCTTCTGGAGCTGCCCGGTGGTAAGCCAACCGTCATGTTTGCTCCGAGATCCATGTGTACTAACCCATTGCGAAGAATTGCGCAACCATATATACAGCATCATTGTCGCCGGAGAAGCAGCTCATGGAGTCAAGCTGCACCGCAAGCGCCGCGGCCGCTCCCAACACTCGAAACATTCTCTGAGAGACCGTCACCCTAGTCGCCAATTCCTCGGCCTTGCTCAGACAAACCGACTATTCCGCTCCGAGTTCTGGCCGCTTTACACGAAAGCCCACCGGCCTATCATTAACATCGAGGAGCTTGCCGAGTACCTTGAGGTCGTTCCGCACTCTGACGAATATATCAATAGCTCTATTATCACGACTTTGAGAGGCGTGCGCCGCCTCAAGACCCCCGACGCCGTTGACGCTCCTGGTATCGACATTCGGCCTCTTTTCCGCATGAAGTGGAAATCGTTCCCATTCATCGTTACCAAACGGTCCACGTATCGGTATTGCGAGGAGCACGAGATATTTCATTGGCTTGTAAACATAAGCTGCCGTAGGAGCCGGACCTATAACAAAGTGCTCAGGGATAATGGAGTCGTTGCGATTTATTTGCATAGACGCCATAACGCCGTTGGCGTGTCTCTTGCGGTGGAAGACGTTATCACAGTACGCCTGGGCGACCTCGTGAACATGAGACTTAGCGGAGACAGAGTTAGCATCTTCCAGAGTTTCGTTGATGCTACGAGAAAACTCCTAATGTTCGGTTCCTGGAGTCACGTTGTGATAGAATGTACTAGCGGTATGCAGAAGATGGTAGCGAGGAAGGGACAGACTATTCTTGTCGAGCAACTGGAAGATATCTCGGATGATGTGTGAGCAAACGCGTTACGCAGAGAGCGATTGCGATATCTGGAGGAGAAAGGGATGTGATAAGTTAGGAAGTTCATGGAGGTTGGAAGTCTCCGATGCGGTGAAGGCCGACTTCTGGTAGGCGAATGGTTGGTGGACATGTATGAAAATGATGTTGTTTGTCCACTTCAGGTGCGATTCTTACCGCTATGCCACTTGCACTGTCTACAGGGCCAGATCCGTGACAACAGTAGTGACAAATAAGCTAGACATGATCGGTCAGGACTCTAGATCGAAAATGAAGAATAAAGTGGGGACAATAGTCATGAGGATGAAGGGTACATTGACGGAGACCCCGTCGTCTAGTATGCTCACCATGATACCAGCAATGATCGATCACTGCCGCGTCCTGCGTATGTCTCCCTACTAAAGTCGATCGCAACTAACAGGCGATCTCTCAGCATGGGCTTCCCGAGAAGACACATGTCGGCGTCAGTGATGCTTCATCACCGGGATGTATGGTACCGCAACCCAAACCGTGCTCGTCGGAAGGTGACGCGCGAGCACCTTTTGCGCCATACGCGATAGATGTCCAAGACGAATGTATCGGAAGGAAGCAGCCGGCTTCTGGTAAGGTCTCGTGATGATGACGGGAAGAGCTTTGACGAGAAGTTTATAGAATGGGTAAAGAAGGGCGTGTTCGGTGAAGTGTACACCGATTAGTACTATACCGTAAGAAACCGCGATCGACTGTTTCTCGATCATGCACTAAGGTCTTCTAGAAGGGATTGGCAGGTACGGAAGGCGGTGGAAGGGCGTTCGAGTACGAAAGCTTCGATGCTGGGGCAGCGTACCCTCCGTGTGTGCGCTTTGAAGATGAAGAAAGAAAATCGTCGTGCGCTGCTTTGAGTAGTCGGTGATGCTCGTCATGCGTTCCTGTAGTATCGTCAACGTGCGCCGCATCGCAATTTCTCGACCACAAAGTCTGTGCGATCTGTGAATCATCTCTTGGCTGTTCCTCGCATTCGGTGGTGCTGCGGTCCGACTGGGGGTTGAATCGCGATATTAACGTGAAGGAACTTTCCGAGCGAATCCATTAAAGTATCTGGGGACCGAGGGATGTCCTCTACGATAAGCGTTGTCGAAACCCCATTTGACAGCAGGGTACAGAATGCGAGACCCCGAATATTTGTTCTTTCAAGAGAACAGGCGAAGTGGCGTTTAGGAGCTAAGGAGACGTGAGTTGAACGGTGCGCGTTGGACTAGTGGCGACTTCCCGAGTTCCCGCGTGCAGTTCACTCCTCCTTCCCTGTGCCATCACTCGCCCAGGGCCAGCGGCAAATGCAAACATGAACCCAACATCACCATGCCCTTAATGCGCATTAACGCTCATTTACCGCCTTTGAAAACAGTAGTCGTCCAATCTTACATCAGGCGCGAGTTTGTGTTGCTGGTAACAGCTGCGACCGTCAGCCTCGAGTACTTGCAAGCATCACAGGCACAGCCTCAGCCAGCTGGCTCTTGGCTTGCACTGCTGGGCATGATATCACGACCACAATACTATACACAATGCAACTACCGTGATTGCGCACCCAGGATGGTACGCCACGAGACGTCTAGAGCGTCGGTCGCACTGGTGCTCAGTGTGTCAACCGCGCGGAACCCCGCAAAAGCAACCACCAGGTGTCTGATTTGGGTTGTTCAACTTGTAATTCGATGGGTTCAGTGTGGTAGCGAAGGCAGCTGTACCACGAGTGCGAATCCCGTGATGCCACGGTTAAAAGCAACCACTAGCCGCACCTGAAGCTATCCTTCACACGCGCCACGCACGACCTTGGAATTGGCCCGACACGACGCCAGGCCCAAGCATCGGCGACCCCACGCGGGACCTCCATCAGGCTCAAGAGGCGCGGCAGATGGTTGCGATAAGCCCTGGATCGAGCTGATGGCTGCAAATGGAAGACTGCCGTGTGCATCAGCTGCAAGCTATACAGGTTAGCTTCTCACCTTGCCTTTCCATGTCGACACTGTCAGCTTTCTTTTCCTCGCTCCTCCTTGTTTTTTTGGTCGGTGTGTATCTACACCCCTCCTCCCTGACCAGTTCTACCCTCGGAATATTTACATCACCTCGCCTGCGTGCTCTGGATGCGCCTCGATTATCGTGTTGCTCTACAACATGATCCTTCGTCGATCTCGTCTTCTAAACCTCAAGCGGCCTAACGGATAGCGACTCTGGCGTCAGCGGCGCAGACCGCCTTGCAACTCGACAATGCCATTACCGTTCAACCAGGAATCATGGATCTGGTATACATGCGCTGTATGCATGATTGGGGCAAGACTGTGAGTGCATTTTCTGTGCATTATCCCATTACATCAGTCTACATTCATGATCTGGTTTCGCATTCGAGAATGAGGCTTAGCATGCGATGCAATGCGCTGGCGGGCGGCTTTGGGTTACTGAGCGCATCGGTGCTCTGCTCTCATGCTTGTTTGCATCCACTGCCCGCGATCCACCAATAACTACCTGCTCATTGTAGCATATGCATCCATTTACTGACCAGATTCGTCATGCAGGATTTCGCGAAAAATGCTCTTTCGATCCGTCAAAGGCTTACAGATCGATGACTGGACCATGGGCCTCTTCGTCACCGCCGCCTATACTGTTATGATTGTGCTCGCGAATCGGTGGCTGAAAGTCCAATCGAACCTGGAACCGGAGAATTTCGACTTCAGCGCACTGACTATGGAAGAACTATCGAGACGACGATTCGGGAGCAAGCTCGTGGTCGTTGTAGAGCAGATGCATATCGCTGTGATCTGGGCCTGCAAAGCATGTCTTTTGGTCATGTACCATCGCATAACACGGACGGCGCTTCAGAAAGAGAACATCGCCATCAAACTGCTCGCCGTGTATACCGCAGTTGGATTCGTCGTGATAGAGGTCCTCTACTTCTCAGCCTGGTGTCGACCCTTTTCTGCATACTACGCAGTGCCGACCACGTCCTTCCAGTGCAACGCCCTGGTACACCACCGCATCACCAAAGCTGTATTCAACATATCCTCGGATTTGATCATGCTATGTATTGCATTGCAGATGCTCATCCGATCCTTGCTACCCATGAAGAGAAAGCTTATACTCTGTGGCATCTTCTCTCTCGGTATCTTTGTCGTGGCTGCGAGCATCATGAACAGCTACTACTCCTTCAGCAATCCTTACAAATCCACGTGGATCTACTGGTACGTCCGAGAATCTTCGACAGCCATCCTTGTTGCCAATCTGCCGTTCACATGGACAATACTGAGGGAACTGTTCGACATGGGTAACTTCGATGACACGAACCCTCCCCCATGGACCTATCACTCTGCTCGTACGGCTGGAGGTCGCAAAACGGCACAACTTCTTCACCATCAGTCCGCGACAACAGCCGCACGTACAGGAGTCAGACGATCCCCGAACAACAGTAATGGCAGCAAGATGACGCAGAGTATGACCATGGTTGCTTCAAATATTACAAAAGACCAAACCAAATCGCCTGCTATCAGCGACAGGTCTGATTTTGCAAAGGAGGATCTACTTCAAGAAGCCATCCAGTCCCATGACTTCGCGCCCGCAGTACTACGTACCAGTAAAGATGGTATTGTCGACATCGACCTGGAAACAGGGCTTGTTGAGGAAGTCAATGCGCGACCAGTCTCTCCAGATCACGCGCAGCAACGCAACAAGCTCGTCTCGGCCCCGCCTACGATTACCCAAGATGGTACTGGGGGCTTCTACGTCAACGACCACCCTATCTCACCACCTTCGCGTGCGCATCTCGTCCTTTCGATGAGTGGAACGCGGGATAGCAGTCTATCAAGCGCGCACAGGAGACCTTACAGTCCGACATCGAGCCTTGTCAGCGGTGCTACAGGGAGTCGACGAGGGAGTGCATCGACCCAGGGTGGAGTGGCTGGGCACACCGCGGGGGGAGGCAGGAGTGCGAGAGATCGAAGAGCGAGAACCAAGTTGAATGAGTAGAGTACATTATGGATGAAACGACGACTAGCATATACCCCTTGTAGACGAACCGCTTTATGGCACTTAGACTAAAACCTCTAATGTAATATAATACCGCACGCTTATCCGCATTGTCTGTTCGAGGGCACATCAAGGGCGCAAGATGCCGCATTCGGTGATAACTGCAGGACTGTACGACTTGCCATGAGCCGGTGAACTAGATTTATGTAGGATTTCTGGAATGTAACGTTAAGACCAAGGGATGGTGTGTCCTTCCTTCCCCAGACGGCCAGGTAGGAAGGCACGTGAGAGAGCGACTTCGGCAGGCGCTAACGGACCCTTCCCTTGGTCCACTGACGCGAACTGCAACCACTGAGCATGGCGCGATTACTGACCGCCAGCCGCTGCAGGTGAAGCGCCATAGCTGCGCTCTCCTGCGCAACAACGCGGAAGTAGCTGGCGTGCAGGCCGAGTCATTCATCCGGTGTGCTTACTATGGTATGTATGCCGTGCAGACTGCAGCCATGCCGCGCTCTAGAAGCTTTGAGGTGCGTTGGATGGCGACATGGGCTCGGCAGAAAAAGTGCAACAGCCGAAGGAAGCGAAAACCTCTCTGGCCCGTGACGACAGACATCCATCTTTCACCATGCTGCCCAATTCCTGAGCTGCCTGAGCTGCGACTGCTCCACCCAAGCATTACCAGGGCGGAACCTTAAGTTAACCTGGAACTAAATCTTTTCCATTATCGATAAGAGGAATTTCTCCGCGAGGGCCCTCCTTCCTTCACTAATCTCCTCTTGCTATACTGCCCGCCGCGAAGTTAGCACACGACCCCACCACCTCCACCAGCCGTCGACATGAGGAACATTGTGGTCCTGGGCGGCAGCTCCCACCCGCAGCTCACCGAGTAAGTCGACGCGCGGAGAAGCGGGCCATGGCTGTGACTAACTGGGCGATAGGACCATCTGCAACCACCTCGGCATACCCAAGGCCAAGGTGCTTCTCGACAAGTTCAAGGGTGGTGAGACGCGTGTCGAGATCGAGGAGAGTGTACGAGGAAAGGATGTCTTCATCATCCAGTCTGGCGGCGGTAAAGGTACGAAGCCCTCGTGCAGGTCGCGCGCGCATTTCTAGCCGCAGTGGTACTGCAGCGCACTTGGGACGGAACACGACGCCCGCGTGCTCTGCGATATGTGAAGAACCCCGCTAATGTCTCGTGTTGCGCGCAGTCAACGACCATCTGATGGAGTAGGCCCATCCTCATGGTGTAGTTGAGTGAAGTGCCTGACCGTCCTCCAGACTTCTCATTACCATCTCGGCCTGCCGCACCGCCTCGGCGAAGCGCATTACCGCCGTCCTCCCTCTGTTCCCCTACTCGCGCCAGTCGGACATTCCCTACAACAAGACTGGTGCGCCCCTCTCCAAGGTGCCTGGCACGCGCTCGAGGACCGGCACGTACACGTTCGATTCGCGACCGCAGACGCCCTTCCCTGGGCAGGCGGAAAGCGCAGGCCTGACCAATGGCTCGGCCGCGCTGCACCACCAGCTCAGTAGAATGAAGCTCGACGAGCGCAACGGCGGCCGCACCGATCCTACAAGTCCGGTCAAGCAGAATGGCATCAAGCGCACCGAGACGCTCGACTCAAGCAGTTCCGGCAAATCCGACAAGGGCGCATACTTCAATGGTGACCATGGAGCCAACGGCACCAACGGCTCAGTTGCCCCAACACCCGGCATCACGCGCGCGCCGACAACTACGAAGCCTCCTGCTTTCGAGCCCCAGGTTGGATACCGCCAATGGGTCGCTCAGGCGGGTACCCTCATTGCGGATCTTCTGACTTGCGCTGGCGCCGACCACGTTATCACGATGGATCTCCACGGTATGTATCATCTTGGAGGGCCTGAGATGGCTGAGCTAACAAACTTCTAGATCCCCAATACCAGGGCTTCTTTGACATCCCCGTGGACAACCTTTACGGCCGCCATCTCCTCCGCAAATACATCCAGTTCAACATCCCGAACTACCAACAAGCCGTGGTAGTCTCTCCCGACGCTGGAGGTGCGAAGCGCGCGACCGCCATTGCCGACGCCCTCGGCATGCCCTTTGCCCTTATCCACAAGGAGCGCCGCCCCACACAGATCAACGACCGACAAAACGCGACCATGATGTTGGTGGGAGACGTTCGGGAGCGCACAACTATCCTGGTCGACGACTTGGCGGATACATCCAACACCATTACCCGCGCGGCCAAACTCCTGAAGAAGGAGGGCGCTACGCAGGTGATTGCGCTCATTACACACGGTATCTTGAGTGGAGATGCTATCGAGCGCATCAACGCCAGTGCACTGGACAAGGTCATTGTGACCAACACGGTGCCTCAGGAGGATCACAAGAGCCGGTGCCCCAAGTTGGAGGTCCTCGAGGTCGGCAATGTGTTTGCCGAGGTACGTTCAGACCAGTCCCCGGATTACGAGACTTATACTGACATACTATAGGCTATTCGACGCGTCCACCACGGCGAGAGCATTAGCGTGCTGTTCGACTACAGTTAGTACCTGTACTCATGTAGTACCCGCTTCTTGGGAGACCGTGCTATCTGCCCCGCTATGCTACGCTCGGATTCTTTCATGGAAAATACATGCGAAAAGTCGAAAAAACTGGGCCGATGGAGTTGCTGGTTTGTCAAAGATCACGCTCTCTGACGACTGCGCTCACTGGGATTATGGATACGAGGGGTGTTTTTATCGTGCTTTTATGTTTATAGACTGCTGAGGAGCAGTATATCAAATACCTGTACCTGCATTATCAGCATACGTGCATGGACTGGCGTTGGGGAGGCTGTTCTTCATAAAACTCGAGTATTGATATGACTCTGTATGTTTTATGGCCGGGTCCAAAATAGAATGTTGTGTCTTGTTCCATTTCACTTATGTGATATTGCTGTGACTATGTATTGATGCAGTGGCCGCTCTATGTTACATCAGACCATCAGCGAGGAGACTTCAGCTATATCGGAAAGACCTCCTGGAACGAAGCCGAACTCGTGGAGGCGCGATTGGCGTTTCAACTATCCTCTACTACCATGCTCTCCCGATCGTCGAGAGTAATTCTTACCCTGCTCGTCATCTATTATGATGCCAACGCACATCCGCGTCCTCTGTCTATACTAAACCCTCTGTGACGTGGTACAATCATGACCCCACGCCATCAGGAAAAAACTGAACACCCTAGAGACTACGTTGATGCTACGTCACCCACTTCGTAGATTTTTGTCTCGATGTAGTCCGCAGGCCTGTTCAGTTTTTTCCTTGTATGGGGTGACCCTCTAGACGAAGCCTCGTTGTTTCCAACAAATACCCATACTGCCGATCCTAAAGCATTACCGTACAAATACAACACACAGATCTAATCCGTACAAACCCATCATACCACCTCCCCACATCCTCATTCTTTCCAGCCCCATCCTCTCCAACCCCCTCATCTAATACCCTCCTCCCACCTCCCCACCCCACTATCCTTCCTCCTCCCCTCTGCCACTCCTATCTCCTCACCCCCCGGCGTAAACAGTTCCGCACTCAACACCAAAACAGCAGGCACAACCGCCAACGCATCGATGGTGCCGCTCCGGCCCCTTTTACCATGATGCCGCAAGTTCATCATCGCATTTACTTCTCGCGATTTTACTACGTCTTTGCGGATGCGTGGCCAGTCTTCGCTGTTCCGGTCGCGGGTGTTGGAGAAAGGGGAGGTAGGTGAGGTGGGCGAAGTTAGAGACGCAGATGTAGATGCGGATGAGGAGCTGCGGTGCCGGAAGGGAGATAGTGAAGATAGGGTTCGGGAACGTCCGCGCTGTTTTTCGGGTGGTGAGGCGAGCGAGGGAGTGGTAGATGGTGGTTGGTTTGTTTGGGATGGGGATGCGGTGCGTGGTGTTGTGATGCGGGGGAGTGGGATGTTTATTTCTGTGTAGAGGGGGCCTTCGTAGTGGACTGAGAAGGGCTCTGATGTTGATGTCGATGTGGCGATATCTGAGGTTGAGGGTATAGGCGCATCGTGGTCGTGTTGTGGGGTTGTGGGGGCGGAATCTAGGGCTGGGAAGGGCTCGTAGCATGGGCTGTTGTGGTCCATGATTTCTATCCGCTCCTGTTCTCGAGTTTCTGGTTTTTTTTTTCCAACGGAGGTTTTGAGGTCTTGAAGTAGCGAAACGCTGGAGGAACCAAGGACCAGAGAATTGCGGCGTGATGTGTGTATATGTCCTGGAGGCGCGGTGATCAAAAGCGTCGCGCGGTGGGCACAGCCTCGTTCAGGCAACCCTTTGTTTTGTCACGTCGTTGACGCCCGAAACACGCGCGGGACGGCGATTATCTCAGACTCTCAAAAGATCGGGAGTCTGCACAGCAGTGAAAGCTCCTGTTAGTCCACTGGTTGGTACCGTCGCGCTGGTAGATAGCGAGAGGTTTGGGAATTGTTGTTGACAGTCAAAGGCCCAAGAATCAACAACCCACACGAACGCGTCCCAAACGCGATACATATACGTCTAAACCAAAGTAGGCTCCCATTATCTGCACTTCAGCTGATCGCAATAAGCCTCATTTCCACACGCGTGCGGCTCAGCGGCGGTGTCGCGGTTAGAAGCTTTCGCGAGCCGCTTAGCCGATTGACATGGCTGTGGGGGCTGTGCAGGTTCGGCGCCTGACATGAGGATGAGGCTCAGCTCTACAGTAAGACGACACTACAAAGCTGACGTCTATATTCCGTTTTTTTTTTTCGGACGAGAGTAGATGTCATAGCTTGTAAGACACTTTGATCGCGTCAAAACGTGACCAGCTACACGTGTATCAAGACAAAGTAGATGTGTACTTGAAGTGTATTATTCATCTTGTCGTTGACATTATCATTGTTGACTATATACAAAGCTGCGTCACCGCGAGCTTACAAAAGGCTCAAAGTGACCTTTGCGCCCTTGACGCCCCTGTGAACGTGAGGCTCACGGACGCTCCTCTTCGCGGTGCCGTTGGCGGGC